TGTTGCAAAACATGAGATAAAAAAATTTTAATAAACATATTATGTTGAAAAAGTTTGACCCTGTAAATTGGGCTGTGACCTGCACAATTTACAACGGTAAATGTAGAATAAAAATGAAAAGATAACTACAAATTATTGTATTAAATGAGTTTTTGGTAATACTGGTAAAATAATAAAATAAGACAACAAAATTAGAGATAATGAAATCAGATCGGATGGTAATAAAAATAATTAGTTTTTTTGACCCTCAATGTAAAAGCTACATTTACTGTCTCTTTTTCTTTATGAGTACATTATTGGTCTTATTCAGTGAAACTTACTCTCCTTCTCTTTTCTTTTCTTTTCTTTTTTTTTTTTTTCAATTTTTTTAAATAGATTACAAATAGTTTTAATATTTTGAGGAAAGGGGGAAATGTGTTATTTGAAGGATTGAAATTCAAGTTTGAAGATGTTTTCACTTAAAAGATATTAATTATCCCCTTAATTCGAATGTATGTAACTTATTTATTTATTTATTTTTGGTTTTTTTTATTAATATCTCGATATTCGGTATATACATTAAATTTTAATTAATTCAGAATCGAATCGCATGTAAAAGAAGAAACTCTTCTAATACCTATTTCTCTATTTACAAAATTTGAAATCGAGACTTTGTTTAAGAAAAATTGAACTTATTCTATTCAGATTAATAATTAGTTAGTATTTTTTCTCAATTTGGTAGTGAAATGTTTTATATTAATTAATATGTACTTTAAATTTAATTTATTTTTAATTTAATTAAAACAAAATTAAAAAATTTATTAAAAAAATATCTTTTTATTAACTTCCTCAACTCAAGCAATCAAAACTTTATTGATAAAACGAAGAGTATTATACTTAAGCCGACTAATCCGCAGTTCGTTGTTAATGAAAACTTACCATTTAGTTATATGTCGTGCCATGTAAATTGCATCTACCATTTGATTTCTCTAACAACAAATCTTCAGGACAATCAGATAAAATAGCATGGATGTTGTGTCAAGATCAGACATGAGTTTAGTACTTACAAGCAGGGATGTACAATTTATGAGGTTTTTTTTTATCTGTTTTAAAATTCCAAATGGGGTTTTTTTTTATGTATAAATGTCTTCTTTTTTTTTAGTTAAAATATTAGAATTTTCAGACTTGAATGTGGAAAAAAATTGCAGGACTTTTAGAGGAGGGAGAAAAGCAACAGAAGAATCTCAATTTGCAATAAATGAAAAGGCATTCTACATTTATCTACTCTCGTTTGTCTCTAGGAAACTTAAATGAGTATTATAGGTACAGATTCAATAGTTCACGTAATTAAACTCAAAACCTGGCAAAGGTCAGGATGTACAATGGAGTTAATGACGAGCTATGGTCCCGGACTTACAGTGACAGGTTGAAACTTGAAAATACCTTCTTGGAGTGAGGGGTGAAATTCATATCCACCATGGTTTCTCTGTTAAATCCTTGGAGAACACGTACCGGAACCTTGAACTGTAAGGTAACCATTCAATAACCTGTGATGGTTTCTTGTTAGATTTATGATCGATGCATTTCTGCATCGAATCATGGAGCTTTTTGTCGACATTTTCCATAACCCATTTCAGAAGTGTGTCTGAGCTCATACAGGATTCTCTTGCAAACCTTTCAACCACTTTTGGCAGAAACACTTTCTTTGACTTCTTTACTAATACATTTGCTTGGAGGAATTCTCTCTTTGCAACTTCGAGTTCCTCTTTGACGTTTGCTGCTGTGTAGACTTTTAGCTATAAACATCGAGAATTAAGCAGTTAATCTATTATCCGGGTGATAACCAGGTATTAGAGACCAACATGAGAAGGAAAGCAGCAACAAGAAATTAATAATGACTTGAAAATCATATTAAGAAACCCAGGTTTCCAATACATTCCATGCATTTCAAAGAGAGGAGTAAAAGTAACTTGAACTGAGGACTTAGTTGGATTAATAACTTCTGCTCCAAGTAACTGATTGTCTGATATAAAGCTGAATTATCATGTACAAGAGAAGTAGAAGAGCAAAAGGTTACCACAGGATCAGAGAAAGCTCCAGTACAAAGTGCAAAGCAGACAAGTGGTTGAGAATATGGGAGACCAAATTTTGAACTGATAAGTTGTCTTTCTTCACCTGATTTTTTCCACAAGGCAGTAGAGAGGATGGTCTCCAGCCACTGTCACATGCAAAAAGGGAGACGATGAGTAAATAAAAGGAAACTATAGTATTGTTTTTCCTATGCACAGGAGGACGTATGATAGGAAAGTTCAAGATGTTCAAGTGGTTAACGAAGAAAAGGAAAACCAAAGCCCTTTTACACTGGGTTGCATTAGGAATGATCAATTTGGAAATTAACTGGAGATCGATGTTTTAGACCTTAATATAATTAATGTCACTTAAGTGATGTAAAACAATCTATTGGCTAGGCCATGACTTAAAGATTACTGAATTAATCACTATTGTTAAGATACGAAAATCCTTTTCTCAACTTTGCCTTTTATGATTGTTACGTACTCGTCCAATTCGAGGTGTTCGGAAGCAAAATACTGACTGTTCTATGGTACTTGCACTTATGGTGTGGCCACCAATGTTGTATGCAGCCTGCACCATACAGAAAAGCTTATCAGCTTTTATTGCCTAATGAAACTAGAAGAAAATTAAACAATGATTGAAGATATAAGCAGGTAAAAATGATAGCCTGGCCCAAAAATGAAAGATATAAACAAGAAAACTGAGGCAGAGGATGAGCTCCTTGCGTGCCAAATGTTCGATATGTTCCAAGAAAAATGCATTTTATCTTGGGCTTTTGCTTAATACCAGATATACAGACAGATCAATTCTAACTTGGAAGGAAGTGGACTACCTTGTGAAACAGCGCTAACCTTTTCAATGGGCTGTGGGGGTTTCCATAGGCTAAATATGCCTGCAGAAGACCAAGGAAAGAGTTACATATAGTTTTTTTTTTTTCCTAAAAAAAAAATTACAGCAAAACTCATTTTAGAAGTTTACATGCATCACAAGGGAATTGTACACATTAATCCAAAATGCAATTTGAGCGTTGTTTTCCAGTTGGGTCACAGTTACCCTCTCCAGTTGTTCCACTAGAGCTCTGAAATTCAAAGGAGGAAGTAAAAACTATGTCAGCTCATGTGTACAGGATAAAAGATAAGAGGAAACGGACTGCAAGCTAAACTCAAAAATGGATGTTATGCCATATAGCCTATGAAATAGTCAATGAAAGAAATATATCACCATGGGATATTAAAATTGCTTACTTTAAGGAGGATTTTAAAGTTTCAACCAGTTATCTTTCATATTTTCTTATATTCACCCCAAACCCCAATGTATATCTGTAGGAAATTACGTATCTAATAAGGTGGAGGGAACTAACCTATAATTATTGATGGCATAAGAGGCACATGAGACTTGGCTCTTATCAGTTGATATCTGAGATATTTCAACCACTGACTTGCAAGAAAAATCCAGGTCCTCTCCAACACCACGTCGGGGGAGTATAACATTAGTTGATGACCTTGACAAAATGGGAGATCGGTTTTTCTCTGGACTTACAGTTGTTGTACAACGAAGCCAGCAGTACACTGCAGACATGCATCTGACCATCTCCTCTGACAACTTGCTAGGACACTGGTACAGATGATCTTTCAGGGTTCGCAGCACTGCAGCTTTCTGCATCACTTGAATCTTTTGATGTGCCTGACAAAACAATTGAGATAAGCAAGTTTGGACAATAATTACATTGAGTAACATTGCAGAACAGTAAGTATAACACTATATACAACATTTGCAGAGGATGTGCACATTAGTAATCTTTTCTGTTACTTGTCGGCTTGTTTGGAAGGAATTAATAGTGGGAGGATAAACTGCAATTTCTGTTCCATCCATGCACTGGGCCAAACATTTGCAGGGTAACATTCCCCAGATCAATTGTTCAGTAATTCATTCTAATTTCTTAGTTGAGTGTCTCAATCAATGAATTATTGCCTCAGAGATATTTAGCAAATTCAACAGCATTTTGCAAAGGTCAGGGAGTTATAATGAAACTACAGGAAGCAGAATAGATATTAGCATTTGCTGGTTTAACCTTGAAATTTTAACTATCTACTTCATAAAAAATTTGAAAAAGTTCTTCCTAGGAATTAAACAAATCTATATGATCATAAAAACCCCAAAATGCTGTAAATTCACAAAATTAAACAATTGACCATAAGCATAGTAAAGCAAAAAGAACACACATGGACACACATAATAAGAAAATAAAATCCTACCATCTGAATTCCTACCTTAACATGGTCTGAGCTTGTCTTCTCAAAAGGAGTGTCATGCTTTCCACAACAAAAAGGAGTATCACTACTCTTTGAGGTTCTTTTCCCAAGATCATTTACAGAAATCAGAGCTTGCAAAGGTCTCAGTGGAAATTTTTTTGATGAACAAAATGCACTTGAAATAATACTTGGGTGTTTCCTTGATCCTTGCTTTGTATGGGCAGGAGAAGCCATGCCTGAGTTCTGCTCGGAGGGGGGTCGACTAACACATTGTTCAAAAATACTTCTATAAAGAGTGAGTACATGCTGTTCACGGTTTGCAACCTCTTCTTCAAGTAACTCAATCTCCGCAACCAATTCCTTTGTCTGAAGGTAACCAATAGCTTGAAGTTATAGAGCCACTTCATAGCTCACAAGTCACAACTAATGTGTGCTGGAAATGAAGCAGTTTCTGATCATAATTCAGAGAGTCAATGTACCTGAGCAGCAAAATGCCTGTGTCCAGGTGATAGAGTACTTGAAGCCCGGCCCATTGCTCTCTCGAGCATAACCCGCATGGATTTCTCTTGCTGTAAGCGTAACTGAAGCAGTTCAATCTGTAGAAGAGAAACCATGGTTATACTATAGAAAGAAACCATAGAGCAAATAGATATTCATATTTATCTGTACAGCAGTTACAGGGCCATTCTTGCTTAGTTTTATTTTCTGCGTGGATGAATTCCCAAATTATATGCGTAAGGCATTTGGGAAGAATGGCTGGTGTTTTGGATAAGGTTTCACTCTCAACTATTAGAATCATGATCTTTCTTTTAACCGACAAAAAATCTTTATTATTTCATAATAGTAATATTATTTTATGTGTTTGATATATGAAGATGTGAATACTTCTCTTTGTTCATATCCTCCATGAAGGAAAATCCTGCAAACGACCAGACACAATTATGCGCCGTTTCAGATCAAGACCATATTTACCGAACTCATACTTTTATCCTAAAAAGACTTGTTAACTCAATCCTTACATCTTTCTCCAAGGAGGCTCTCTGTTTTGTTGAAGTATTCTTGCTGATACATGCAGAGTTGTTATGTAGGGGACTTTGAGGACAGCTTGCCTTCTTTGGAAGTGGCAGCACCTGTGAAGTTTACATTTAAAAATTAAAAGAGGAAGGGAATGATAAGAATTCATGAGTCTCATTCGTAATTACAACTCGAGGTTATTGTACTGTTCATCTGTAAACTTAAGCATTAGTGGTGAAGCTTTAATAACATGAGACTGAAAGAATTTGGCTTGTAAAGCATTGCGATCTCACATGCATTTCATTTGGCTGTTTCTTTGTAGAAGTGAAACGCAAAACTCCACCCCTTGAAACATCCGAAGTCCTGTCTGAAGCACTGAAAGAAAAAAGCCACATATAAATAGTTCAAGAAAGTCTTTCAACACAAAAAAATGGATTGAAGGGGGGGGAGGGGAGAGGAAGAAGAAGAAAGAAGCAGTTTTACCTAAATCTGATCATTTGAGTTTTTGTGAGAACAAAATTTACATATTTTGGATTTCATAATTCCATTCTTAGGACAAGACCACTTATCTAGAACTAGAACCATGTCATCTAGTAGACTATATTTCACATCTTACTCCATAAATACAAAAATCCATGGAAGTATGTAACTGCAACAAAAACTTAGAAGGCAAGAAGCTTTGAAAATATAGTTGCCAGAAAGATGTTGCTACCATCAAATATATTCTAACCAATTTGTGCAACTAGTAAATCACCTGACAATTCACAAGGTTATAATGGATCAATTTGAATGCGCATTACCATGATATACCCAACTAGATAAGCATTCATTCAGCAAAATCCTGCCTTATTGAGCCACAGAAGGACATCAACATAGATGGTATTGCATTATTGGATTCTAAATTTTTTCACTCAGAAAATAATGTGCTTCATATTGTTGATGTCAAACCAAGCACGAGTAACCCTTAAAAAATCTAAACATTGTCAAAATGCTCTGTTTCTATAGGAAACCAAAACGAAAAATTAATACTGGATTAAATTCCATGCATTGCTTGCCGCAAATCTTGCCTTTTTCTAACTTGCCAGCTTGATTCAGCTCAACTCAATGGAGCCTTTCATCTAGCCACGGAAGGACATCAACATAGATCCTATTGCATCTTAGATCTCAAAGTTTACACTCCTATTATTGATTCAAAACCAAGGGCGGAGTTTTCAAAGTATCTAAACATCATACAATGTCCCATTTCAATATAAGAAAAAAAAAAAGAAAATTGTTTGCACTCCTTAAGTAAAAAGGGTAAAAATCGTTGAAGTCATGACAGGCGATTGATACAGTGAGAATAATTCTAAAAATAACAGGACAAGAAAGGATTAAAGTCGTGAAAACACACCTCTTAGAGCGCCTATGTCGAGCACGAACATGCAAACGTGACCAAGAAGCTTCAATGTCTTTCTTCCTTGAAGCTGCTTTTTCCTCCTCTACATGGAAATGCTCCATTTTATTTATCATCAACATCACACCCTGTTCAAAGCTCTCACATTTTCTATATCTAGAGCTATAATAAAATACAAAAACTTAACTCATGTGGTGATTCTTTTAATAGCACAAGCACCTATTTGGAAATGAACAGTACAATACAATAGAAAGGGTGGAATTCCTCCAACTGGTGTGCCACGGGTTTCTGTGTTCCTACTTGAAAATTGAAGTTTGTAAAGATGAAGAACTCGAAGTAAATTGCAACACTTGCCCCAAAGACTGGGACCGCGAAATTTCAGCCCAGAATTCAATTAATCATTTCTAGGGTTGTTGGCTGCATTGAATGCTTGGATTTATTTCACCCTGTCCCTAAGGCAACACTATAGCGAAGGAGAGAGAAGAGCAGTTGGGTTTTCTAAGTGTGTGGATGGCTACCGTACAGTGTCCATTACATTTCAACCACTTGAGTCCTTGACCCATCCTCCTAGAGTCTATGCCTATAATTTGAAATGTAACGATAACGATTAAGAGAGGGGGAAAAAGAAAGATTCGATTTTTATCCAAACCCTCTAAACGTGATTCATTTTGAATACAAACATTCATGGGTTGGTGAAGAATTTTACCACGAAATCTACCTGCTTCAGCTTGTCTTCAGTGTGGCATTACATCAAACACCAAACTTGCAAGTTGCAAACAACCATGTTCTTCCATCAAAGCGAATTCAGAACCTGTGCAACACATTGATCTTGATTGAAAGCCACATCTGAACCCTCAATTCTATCATGTGGGTCATTAATCACCATTCATCAATGTTTTCTTCTCTGTTTTCTACATCCCGTCCTGTTACAATTCAAAGAAAAAGCTAAAAAATTCAATCTTTTTACAGTTTCCATGTCCTGTGCATCAGAAGTAAAAACTGAATGATTTGAATTTAATTTTTTTCCTACTAAGAACTGAGGAAACAAAGACGGGTCAGACTCATTAATAGCAGATTACCAGAATGCTACGGATAAAACCAAAATTTATGACAAGAACACCTCCGGCAACATTAAATGGAAGGGGACAAGTGCTACGGCGTAGGAACAGCTTCCATGTTTCAGTCGCATTATTACCGGCAGCTTCCAGTTCTGTTTTTCAGGCATATTATTACCAGAACAGCACTACATCAAATTCAAAAAATTTTGAATCTTGATTTTTTGATGTTATGCAAAAAATTTTGCAACTCAATTAGCAAGACACATGCATTTCATATTCAACAATGACTACTAATGAACCCTCTCAGCCGTGACTATGCAATCAAATACATCTCGCCGAGGGAAAAAGGTTAATTAAAACTACTATTGTAAACAAATGTTGTCGATCAATTATGAATCACTGCATTTGTGTGTTGGAGTACTGAGCAAAACATTTTGCAGAACTAAGGAGTTGAATGTGTTGTTGAGAATTAAGGAACTTTATTTAATATGATCAAAACTCTGACATTGAAATTTAATTGCAGGCCAGATAAGATCTACGCATGGACAGATCAGAATGAGCTAAGCATGAAAGACAAACACATTATTTTATTTCTTTTGGAAAATCAAAAGCAATAAAATTTTGTTGGCAAACCCCACTTTAAGTCTCTAATTTTATTTTAAATTTTTTTAATTAAAATTTTAAATTTTTATTGAAACAAATAAATTTTTATACTTAATAATTTAGACCATTTAATTATTTTTTATAGTAAATAAGGTCTTAAATTTAGATAAAATATCAGCATGTCATTAGCAATAGGAAGGGCATTGGATAAGTAAAGCACAAATAAACTATAATAAAAAAATTATTAAATTGCTCAAATTGTTAAAATCAAAAACTTGTTTACTTTAATAAAAATAGAAAGATTTAATTAAGAATCTATAATAAGTTCAGAGATTTAAATTAAGATTTTATCAATTTTAGTTGATCAAGAGAAAATATTATTTAAAGGGTGATGCTGGTTGTCCCATATTTTTATATAACTTTCACATGTTATTAAATGAATGAATGCATTTAATATTATGAATCTCACATGAATAGAAAGATTCAATCATTTTAATGATACATCAAATCATACAAAAAAAAAAAAAAAAAAAAAGCGCCTTACACTTGTTTTAATTATTTATTAAAATTTTAAATTTTTATTGAAATAAATAAGTTTTTAAACTTAATAATTTAAACCATTGAACTATTTTTTATAGTAAATAAGCCCTCAAATTTAGATAAAATATTAGCATTTCATTACCAATGTGAAGGGTATTAGATAAGTAAAGCACAAATAAACTATAATAAAAAAATTATTAAATTGTTCAAATTGTTAAAATCAAAAACTTGTTTACTTTAATAAAAATGAAAAGATTTAATTAAGAATCTATAATAAGTTCAGAGACTTAATTTAAGATTTTATCTATTTTAGTTGATCAAGAGAGGATATTATTTAAAATAGGAATAAAAGAAATTTGAAAGTAACCCCTCCATAGAATGAATCAATAATGCAGAGAATGCTCAAGGCCTAAAGCAGTTCCACCAGCCACCCCCCACATTAAAATAGTGTCTCAAAGGCCATCCACATTTTTTCTTTTTTTAATGTTCCAGCTCCAAGAACTAACTTTTAAGTTTTACCTTAAAACACTACTTGATATATTATTAGATTTAATCAACACTATAATATATTTATTTAAAAAATATTTTTTTATTTAAAATTAAAAATAAATAAATTTAAAAATATAATCATACATAATATATAGAAACTGATTATATTTCTATTATATTTTAATAACTTAACTTGACAATTATTAAAAAATGTGTCAAACTAAATAATGTACAAGTGATTTTTCTTTAACCCATCTAATTTTTCCATTTTCATGTTCTATCTTCATCTTCATAAATTTTTAGATAAAATTTGTAGTAGTACAAATTCTGTTCAAACGCTCCACTTCATCTTAGTGCAAATGAAGTAATAACATTTTCGTTTCTGTTCTGGTTTCCTTATTTTCATTGATGAATTACAGTATTACACCTTGTTACAATTCCATTCAGAAAAAAAGTATGCCCCTTAGTTTAAACATACCCATTGATATTATTCTCGAAAGACCAATTTAATATGTCACGAGGAAAGGGACATCAGACCGATCTTATCATCGTGCAATAGAAAATGCTTTCTCATGAAAATATTCTATCAAATGCAATGCTTCATTTACTCCCATAGAGCTTAGAAAAATATGTTGGCGATGTCTATCCCTTCATTACTCACTAGTTAATTCGGTTGTCTTATGCTCATAATAATGCCTAGTTGCTCATAATTTATCGTATTTGGTCATTGGTCGGTGGCGTCCTTGGCCTTTATGTAGGCATGTAGGCCCATGGCCGGTGCCGGCGATGATCATCTTGAACAACATCTATATCATATTATGTATTATATATACATGTATTATGAAATGAATAGCACAATCAAAGAAAGTTCTAGGCTGTGTACCAGGCTACAGGCTCCATATTCATAGTAGTCCATCGTTCTCTCTTAGGTAGGTAATTAAAGAAAAAATGGTGAAGTTGGCTTTTGGTAGCATTGGTGACTCATTCAGTCTTGAGTCCTTGAAGTGTTATTTGGCTGAATTTATTGCTACTCTCCTTTTTGTTTTTGCTGGTGTTGGATCTGCTATCGCCTATGGTACGAATTTCCAATTAAAGCATGTTAAGTTACAGCTAATCAAGCAAAGCCCTAACAATATTACTGTTTGATCTTTTTTTCTTTTTTTGGTATAGATAAGTTGACAAAGGATGCAGCTCTAGACCCTGCAGGGCTGGTGGCTGTAGCCGTGGCTCATGCCTTTGCCCTATTTGTAGGGGTGTCCATAGCTGCCAACATCTCCGGTGGCCACTTGAACCCTGCCGTTACTCTTGGATTGGCCGTGGGAGGTAACATCACCATCCTAACCGGCATTTTCTATTGGATTGCCCAATGCCTTGGCTCCATTGTCGCCTGCTTTCTCCTCAAATTTGTCACCAATGGCTTGGTACGTACATCTCTTGATTAATTATTTAAAGATCGAATAGCAACAAAATAGTAATTAAGTAAACTGAAATAAATCTCTTATGAAATAATTAAAATTGTTTCTCAACTTATAACTGACATTTATCTTAAAAAAAGCATAACTTAAACTATTGAATGCTTCTAATATTAAGAGTTGTTTTTTTATTTGACGGTTCTTACATTATAAAATAAGATTTTTATTTAGTTATTACAGAAATTTAAACATAATTACGTACATGATCGAATTTTTTCAGAGCATTCCTACTCATGGAGTTGCCTCAGGAATGAATGCCTTAGAGGGGGTGGTAATGGAGATTGTCATAACCTTTGCCTTGGTCTACACCGTGTATGCCACGGCTGCTGATCCTAAGAAGGGGTCAATAGGTATAATTGCACCAATTGCAATTGGGTTCATCGTTGGAGCCAATATTCTGGCCGCCGGTCCGTTCAGTGGCGGTTCTATGAACCCGGCTCGCTCCTTCGGCCCGGCCGTTGTCAGTGGGAACTTTGCCGACAACTGGATCTATTGGGTCGGACCACTGATTGGAGGGGGGCTGGCTGGGCTAATTTATGGTGACGTTTTTATTGGGTCTTATGCCCCAGTCGCTGCTTCTGGAGAATATGTTTAAGAATTCTCAATTCTATGTTTTGGGCTTTTGCGTTTGTCCAGTTTGATTTCCTGCTTCTGGGTTTGAGCCTTTTTCTGGTTTAAAGAGCTGCCCGCACTTGTTAATAAAAAAATGTAAATAAATCCATTTGGGCTTGTGAAGTTGTGATCCTCTTTTGAGTTCTATTTATCATGAGCATTTCACATCTCATCTGCGATAACAAAGGGGGCAAATGCATGTTGAAATATTTGAGCTTGACCTCTAATTTGGAAGTTTCACATTCAAACAATTGAGACATGTTGTAAAGGACATGATCAATCTTCCTTTAATCCATGTTCTCTATAAAATCAAATAAAATTATTTAAATTTAATTAGTACAAATCGATTTAAAATATCAATTCACCAACTCAACGATAAAATAGATAAAAAAACAAAGAGAATCAAATTATTCTCTTGCGAAGTTGCGAAGGCAGGTGGTTGTGATTTGGCTATACGAGTCATGGAAAAAGTTCCATAAATTGTGACCATCAACTAAACTATGGTTCTTAATGCACAAAGATTTTATTTGGGTCCATGATCCATGATAGGTATGGAAGAATAACTTTATATCACATCTTTTGTATGATTTTAAGCATCAATATATTCCTTTGACTGTGTAAATTGATGGAAAAATTTATACTTTCTAATGTGAGGTGGAACTCATATGTATGGTGAATCCGGCAGGGGCGGAAAGTTATGCTTAGTGGGTTTCTTTTTGAAAAGTAAGAAGTGGAAGATGACACACATCTTCCCCCGGACAAGTACTCCTCCCACTATATGCTTGCACATTAATTTACCCCTTTTTCAGTTCACATCACAACTCAAGACACATGCCATACAATTATAAATAGCAATAAAATCGTATTGGACTTAACATACAATCTATAGTCTCATTGTAGTACATATTTGATAGTTTAAAATTTAAGATTTTGAATTCGAAATACAATACTTATAAATAATTAAAGTGAAAGGAGTTTATTAAAATTTATTTGAATTGCCGACAATTTTAAGTCATATTAAATAGTGTAATGCAATTATGCAAATTAATAAGAATTTTTATAGACATTAGATTAATAATTTGTTAGGGGAAACTTCCAAACTCTTCTACTGTGTGAAGGGTTTGAAATTATGGGATTTTTGCACAGTCTGCCTTCGCCAAATCATATTTTATCCGGATAGGAAGTGTCCCACACTCATACACTATCATTAAGTCCTTGGGGCCCTTAGCCGCGCTCCCTTCGGTTTCAGACAAGGAGAGATCCAAGTTAAGGAGTTATAACATACTAGTATATGATATGGGGTAAATATCCCAAAATTTAAACTTTTTAGTAGCATTTTTTTTTAATTTTTAATATAACCAAAAAGTGATGCACGAATTACATATCTTATAATTGTTGACGAGAGAGAGAGAGAGAGAGAGTCGTTTAATATTTGAGTGATTACCATTTTTATTATTAATTACAAAATATGTAATTCCCCATGTAAGTAACTATCTATTCAATAAGTTAGTCTCGATTCAATTATTAAGATATCAATGTTTAACGCGAATATAAGGGTGTCACACGAAAGGCAAGTACAGCTAAATAAGATTGTCCTTAGCAGAAGACTGTCCCTATCAGCAGACAGCAATGGCTGCTTCAGCTTACTTATAACGTAACTACATTGAAATTGGGCAACCTTAGGATGAGTGAAGGATTGCACCTCTTTAAATAGTATGGAAGTGGACATTGCATCGACTCTTTTTTTATGGTATCTTAAATAAGTTAATTTCATGCATTAGACTAAATTCATTAGCTACAAGAAAATGAACATTTTGTAATAGAAAATCAGTTATAAAAACCAAAGTTATCAATACTTTATCGGCATGTATATCGATTTTGTTACTGGAATGATATGTATCGGATACCAAAATTTTT